AGAGGAGAAAATACACAGAACAAACCCGTGCAAACAATAGCAAAAATAGAGCAAACAATATCAAAATATAACAAAGGAAAAAATAATGAAAAACAGGCATCAACAAGAAAAAAAAAAAAGAATACAACTGAAAAGAGAAAAGAGGGACAGGGAAATCGAGGTGTACAGCGGGAAAATAAAAGGAAGATAACAAATACTAAATGAACACAGAGAAGGAAGATGAAAAGAGAAAGAGACTAAAGAGTAACAAAGAAAAGTCAAGAGAAAAAGAAGAGGGTAGAAATGAGAAACATAAGAAAAGAACAAAAAAGCAGAGATAGAAAAGATAAAAATTAAGGAAAGGGAAAGAAAGAGAAAAAAGATAAACAAACAAAAGCACTGAAACAATGAAAGGAAAAATAAACAAAAAAACAATGCAATTGTTGGGCCCAAAGAAACTCTGAGGGGCTCCTGCTGGTCAAGGAACTCATGAGGTGAGTGGGAGAGGGATGTGATGAATGATTTTCCAGTACTAGTTGGAGTTCTTATATGCATAGGTATTTTCTATGATCAGGGTACACAATCTGGAAGTCTTTCATAGAAACCCTTCAGGTTACTAGTTTCATTGTCTATCAGAACCAGAGGGCAGTTGGGGGCAGAGTGGCTGATTATGAAGGTTCTGCTAGTCTAATAAGTTATTTGTCTTGCAAATTCTATAATACGTCATTTCTGTCACAAAGACCATATTTTCCAAATACTGATCCTTCTTCATTTCCAACTTTTGCATTCCAATCACCAGTAGTTATCAATGAATCTTGATTACAAGCTCAGTATCAAACTGCAGAATTGTGTAAAAAGCTTCAGTTTCCTCATTTTTGACATTAGTTGTCGTTGTTGTTAAGTACCGTGGAGTCAGTTCCAACTCATAGTGACCCTGCACAGGGTTTCCGAGGTTTCAAATCTTTATGGGAGCAGAAAGCCTCATCTTTCTCCTGTGGAACAGCTGGTAGTTTCGAACTGCTGACCTTGAGGTTAGCAGCCTGATTCATAACCACTACACTACCAGAGTTCATTTTGACATTAGTGGTTGGTGCGTAAATTTGAATAATAGTCAAATCGACTGGTCTTCCTTGAAGGCATATGTATTTTATTTTGTCACTGACAGTATTGTACTTCAGGATAGATAGATCTTGAAATGTTCTTTTGAAAATGAATGTAACATCATTCGCAAATAGTCTTGTTGTTATTGTTGTTGTTGAGTGTTGTAGAGTCGGTTCCAACTCAGAGCAATCCGGTATAGGGTTTCCAAGGAGCAACTGGTGAACTTGAACCACTGATCTTGCAATTCAAAGCAACTTTGAAGTCCAGTGCATTAACCCACAGCTCCACACCAGGACCATATGTTTGAGTCAAAATGGCCAATATCTGTTCATTCAGCTCACTAATGCCTAGGAATACTGGTCTTTATGCATTTTATTTCATTTTTTTATGACTTCCAATTACCTAGATTCACACTTTGTGCATTCCATGTTCTGATTATTAATGGATGTTGACAGCTATTTCTTCTAATTTTGAGTCATGCAAGCCAATACCGTATAACAAACTCACAGACAAGGGATGGTGGTTATTTATAGAAATAAGTAAATGGCATATCTCTTGCACATGTGATGTGTAAATGTGTCATGAAACTTTACCGTTTCTCTCACCTATATTGGCATTTCTATCTTTGTTGATTTGTTTTATGGAAGCAAGATCACATACAACAATCAGACTGACCCACATAACCCCGTAGAGCAATGTGAGCTTATTTTCTGTTTGTGTTTCCAAAGATATTTAGTGGATAACTAACTATAATTTTCTATGCTATAATTGCTGAGGATTACCAAAGAAGAAGAGAGAAGAAACAAGAAAAAGGAGGAGGAAAAAAA